AAGTGAAATGTCCTGAGGATAAACTGTAATGTTGAAAAATGGTGCAAAATGCAACCATAAAATTTGACATATGTGCAGTAACAAAATCAAATACAGGTAGAAAATCTATTCTCCATCAGATGCTAGGATTACCCCTCACATCCTGAAGCATATTTTACTGGGAATATGTTTTATCCTCCTTTAGAGCAGAAATGAGTAGACTCTGAGCTTTTGAGATTTCTTGTGGTTCTTCAGTAGAACTCCAAGGTCCAGTAATCAAACTCAGGTGCAAAATCGTAGCCACTTAGCCATAAAATAAGTTACCTACTGCACTTTACAAGACTCATCTGAATTACTAGAGATCAGGAATTCTAATACATTCACTACATTCACACACCAAAACATATTAAAGGCCCTCGTTCTTCATTTGGACCAGAGGGCATTCACTGCCTTTGCAAAAGGTAAACTTGTAAAATTGGGATGGATAATACTGATTTTGCTCAGAGGGCTACTAAAGCAATGAATGAAAACAGGTTAAAAATATCACTTTCAGGATTCACAAATGCAATTGTGTCTAGCCATCTAAAATGGCTTCCTGGTGACCATTAGCCTTTGGCCTGCAAAATGGGCTTCACCCAGAACTCAGATGTACTGGTGTCAACAAATTAGGGCAGAAGCCCGATACCTGAGTCTGGAGAATTAGGGTTTAAAAAGGCAGGGTTGGGGAACACACCTAAAAAACAGGCAGAGCTTTGCTCATACCATTGTGGCTGCCATCTTGACGTTTTTTTTACCATGCCCTATGGACACCCATGATTTGAAGGAAGTCTTGTTTTTTTCACATCCAACTTGGTGAAACTTCTCAAAGTCTTTGAAGTATGGCATCATGCAGTGTTTTTTCAACCTTGGCAACTTTAAGATGTGTGGACTTCAACTCCCAGAATTCCACAGTCAGGGAATTCTGGGAGTTGAAGTCCACACATCTTAAAGTTGCCAAGGTTGAAAAACACTGGCATACTATAAAAGATTTCCCTTTTTTCAAATGCGACACATTTCTAAGGACTTTGAGGGGTGAAACCTTGTGGCAAACACAAACGATGACTGGCCACCCAAATCTACCTCCTCTGTAACTCCGGCACATAAAAAACGGTATAAAATTAATCATATCAATAGCTGAGTTTAAGTCAAATACACTAAATATTTCATTACCTTACAGACAAGGAAGATGAAACCCAATATTTTAATACATGGTTTTAGCTTAATTAATTTCACATAAGAAGAAATCACTTTATTTATTTATTTATTTATTTATTTATTTAATATATCAAATTTGTCACTGCTCATCTCATTGAAACGACTCTGGCGGTTTACAACAGAGATAAAATCAATTAAAATATAATATAAAAGCAATCTTAATAATAAATAAATTCCAAGAATGATGGAGAATTGGCGAATAACTCAGGGAGTGTCATCAGGGCACTAACTACCCCCAGGAACGATTAGAGCTCCTATCGCCCCATGCAAGCTGGCAGAGCCAGGTCTTTAATCCTTTCTGGAAAGCTGGGAGGGCAGGGGCCTGCCACACCTCTGGGGGGAGAATATTCCAAAGGGCGGGGGCAACGGCAGAGAAGGCTCTCCTCCTGGAGTAAGCATCCATTTATTTATTTATTTGTTTGTTTATTTATTAATTAGAGCACCCCTCCTCAAACATTTTTAAACTGCAAGAGATTAGTATGGCTCAATACCATTTAGACACCCAAGCACTAACAAACCATTAAAAACTGTAAGAAAACCATTTAAAAACTTGAAGAAAACAGTAACTCAAACAAAATAAGATGACTATATTATATACATTATGACTTGGTCCAAGAGATCTGGCTTGGGCTCTTCATGAATTAAATACCTAACCTACAACCTATGCCGGCCTTATTTGCAACAGATACTGACAGTCCTCAGCAGACTGATCGATTGATTGATGATAACTTAGGGTTGATCAATTGATTGATGATAATTTATGATTGATCGATCAACTGATGATAATTTAGTGTTGTTTGATGACAGAATAATATTTGAAAACTTCTCAGAAAAATTCTGAACTTTGATCATTTTTATACATAGATACTAGATACATCTCAAGTATTTCTAGTATGGAGACCTTCAGATGCACTGGGATTTTAATTTCCAGAATTCTATCAAAATGACCGAATATTCTGGCAGCTTCATGTCCCCAAATACCTGGAGAGCATCAGGTGGGGGAAAGATGTTATAAAGGGTATGATAGCGAGACGTTTGAAGCACAGCACTTCTGTCCACAGGACACGTGGATGACCTTTGGATTCCTAAGTACCACACAGGATTGATATGAGGATACAGATGCGAAGTCCCCAACATCTGTGTTTGCTCTTCCGACCTCTTTGGAGGAGCCTGATAGAAATTATGAATAACCGTTTTTCATACCTATCAATGAACTTTCCTTTACAGAACCTTCTCTGCCTTCTTGCACATTCAAAATAGTATTCAGGTCTAATGAGCAAGACAGGGAGGGAGGTTCAAAAGCTTCTGTTTATGTCATGCTTGTATAGGCAGCACTAGAGACTTGGGGAGTGCTGGAGAGGGTGCTCGCGCTCTCCCAACAATAGACCCCACCCCCTGCTACCTGGACTCCTGTGCTGACTTGAAAGAAAAGCACTGTTCCGTACAATTTATTATTGAATCATAAACCAGGCATTAGAATAGACTGCAAGCTATTATATGTTCTATATTAAAATACATGTAAGTTGGAAATCGCTTTCAGTTGGATTCCACAATGTGATTTGGTTAGAAATGGTGATTTGCGAACTGTAATTTATGATTTAACATGTCTGAACCCACCTAGTCGTTACTTATTCAACAAACTACAGCTAAGGGAATTGTGGATTAGTATGACACGTGAGCCTACTAACTGAGAGATATGTACTATATTTTTGAGAAACCTTAACATGTGAAATAAAAAAGCCTTTTGCCACTTCTGTACCCTCCTGCATTTTTTAATCCCTTAGTACATCAGCATATTTTATTTCCTTTATTTATTAGATATATAACCAGCCTTTCATATAACTGTACTTAAATGATTGCTTATCCAGCACTGACCACCATTCAAGGTATAATACAACATTGCTTTTCATCACTGGGTTTTTTTGATGGAGCCAGTTCACACATTCAGTCACCAGTTATCAAGTGCAAAGCAATCGCCTAATATATGAGCCTGTATGAACCAGCCTAGGTTGTATTCCTGCTCCAAAACTGACTCCCCCTGTTGATCCCAGGGGTGTCTGAAGAGAGGGTAAAAATGTCAAAATGGCAGCCACACCGGCGCAATCAAAGGCCTGCCCCTTTTTGTGTATATCACACCACAGCTCCTCATTTGTCAAACCACAACTGAAGCAATGTTGCAAATGTACGAACTCTGTTAATCTAAAGTTTTGATTAGTCATCCAATTAGACATTCCCAGTACAGTATATTGATAGCCTGGGGGAAGAACACCCCAAACCTGGGTTCTCTCACCTTCCATATAAATGTTTTCCTGATTGGTAATCGGGAAATAATTTTTACTTACCCCAGGTAACCAGTCAAGTGGCTATTTTCAAGCCTGCAACAAAAGACCAACCTCTCTTACACTGCAAGAGATTATTGCACAGACAGCTACTAAAAATATTTTTCAACCTACAGAAAGTGGCAATTACAGTATTATATGGAACATTTGCTAGGGAGTTCAAAGTCCCTCCCATATGTTTCAACAATTATTCTTACAATGCTGCAAGACAAATCACAAGATCTTTGCTTCTATAGACATGATTGTATAACTGAGACATCAGCATATTTTACACTCATGACTGAGCTGAGATTCAAACTGGATATTTTTGACTCAGAGCTCATGCTCTTTATCTCCCAGTATCTCATACTAAGCCAGCCTTCCTCAGCCTGGTATGTATTAGATGTATACTGATGAGTGTGCTAAGAGGGGAGATGGGCTTTGTAATCCAACATATTTGATGCACAGCAGGTTGGGGAAGGCTGCATTCAGCATTTGAAAGGCCACTTGCTGCCAGAGCCCCAAGATCAGGGCTTTCAGGTTCTGTGATAGGGATTAACAAGTTTTGGCTTTCTTTTCCATTTGCAATTCCCTGAAAGGCTGATCTTGCTTCATCCTCTTGCCTAGCCATCCACACATCACAACAGGTCACCCCAGGATCGAGCGAGTGAGCAAGCAAGCAATTTTTTTAGCCCCAACAATATAATGACAACCATCCTGTGACAAGTACACCTCACCTCTTCTAGCTCCTGTATTCCTCTCAATAGAAAGTGCTGTCTGTATGGTGCCTCCTATGTTTGTCACCATCCAGGTATGATCAAGGTGAAGGTGAGAGACACCCCTCATTTCTTTTCCTAGCCTGTTTTTCTGCTGCTTCCCAAGCAATTCCCATTACTGTGTGAGACCTATTTTTCCATATCATTGCTCCCCACTATATCAGGTAGCTAAAGAGAAGAGATGGAAATCCAATGACCCAAAGGGATATTCTTGAAAGAAAAAGCATTGTATCCCTGATTCTGCTCCCCAAAGATCTTCACTCCAATAGTATTAAGAAAGGGGGGAACATTCAGAAAAACATTTGCTTGAATTCTCACCTTTGGAAGGGCTAGATTCAATTTTAGAGGTTAGGAAGGGCATGCTGCAGTTATTGAGGACAAAGCACTTTGCACATACCCAGGGACACTCTTTTTCTTCTCTATGATGTCATATGTACTGGGGCCGGCAATCCCTGGCATTCTAAACTGTTGCCAATTTACAATTAAGGCAAGTTTATCTGTCTAATCTTCCCACCATGAGCCCCCAACCCTGTCCATTACCTTTCAATCCCCATTGCTCTTGCCCCGATGACAGTAGCCCCTCCACCCCATCTTGCAACTATTTTGTCCCCACCCCACCCCCACCTTGGCAGCAGTCACAACCTTCACCCGAGGTCCCACCTGTATCCCTTACCGGCTCCACAGCCATGTCCATGGGGGGCTGTCAGGTCCCCTCCCAGCCTCTCCAGCACCCTCCCCACTAAGCGATCAGGGTTTTCGGGTTCTGCCAACGGGACCCAGCAGCAAGTAGGCACCGACTCAGGACTGAGCTGGGTTTCACCTCCTCCGCCACCTCCTGGGGAGAGCTCCTCCGATGAGAAGGATGTTGGGGAGCGCAGCGCAGAATCGGGGGGCCGCAGCTCCAGCCAGCGGCCATCGCCCGTGGTTTCTGTGCCTCCTTCCGTCAGATCTTCAGGTGGCTCCTTAAGAAATCCAGGCAGGAGGATTTTGGAGACGCTTTGCCTGCGAGGCAACTGCCCCCCGGAACCAGGAACAGCCCGGGCAGCCAAATGAGAGCCCTGCTTCTTCAGAAATTTCTCCAAAGGCTTCATCCCACCGGCCACTGCGGGGGCACCCAAGGGCGCAGCAGGGCCCCAGGACGAGGGTTGATCCAATGTGCCCTTCTCAGCCTAGGCCAAAACGGGAGATCAGGGGTGCCCCACTTCGCGTGCTGGAGGGAGGCAATGGGGAGATGCGTGATCACACAGTCATGGCTATACCCGACACTGGCGAAGGGGCGAGATCTGGGGATGAAGGGGGAGGCGCAGCTTGGGGCAATCTTACTGAGAGTGGAAAGGGATGAGGGAGCAAATAAGCGGAGTCTTTCGGGCTTGCTTCGCACAACGGTGGGAGCGATTCGAGACGCCCCTGATGGGCCTGGTCCGTCTGACCCCCGAGATGCTCAGCGAAGAAGGAGAAAGAAAGGGCAGGGAGGCGGGCGACTGCCCAGCCTTCCTTCTGGCCACCTCAGCAGCGCGGAGCTGGCTAGTCTCTCCGCAAGGATTCGCCGCCTCCGCCGCTCCTGTCCTTAGCGCAGAGCGGCG